CGTTTATTGAGTACAACGTCCTTCAGACAGCACTCGCTTAGCAGAACATGAACTGGGTCGAGTTTTCTAAAGGGCTTTCAACTCATCCGGTGAAGCGCGTAATCATCAAGTTCCCCGTAATTAGTTTGTCGAAACGTTGACCAAGTAAACGGGTTTCACCATAAAAATCTGGACGGGACAGAAGAAGAATACACAAAAGTGTTCCTCTTGTCCGCTGAACTTAACCGATGGTCGACGAGGGGGTAACATACAACAAGTGAGGTCTTAGGTGACCTTCATAATTTTTTTCGGCATCAAAAATGAGTGTACGCAGGCACAGGTGAATTTACAGCATGCAGCTGAAATAATCACTCTTTGGCCTCACGTCATGTAGATATTCTTCAGCCTTAAGAACTCATGATTAACTCGTTTCAATGATTCGAATGCGTTAACTTTGATCGAGCACTGGATTCTACCTGAACTTCATGCATTCCCTTTCCATTGTGGCCGTTCTCTTCAAATTCGCTGGCCATATTCTGCATACTTTACAAATCAACAAAGCAAATGGGGGCCTACAAGTGGTATTTGCTGGTCTATCAACTAGCATCTACCGTATTCGATTTCGCGTATCTGGGACTTACACTCCCCGTGATATATTTCCCTATTCCAATGGGTTATTCTGCTGCCTGGATTGCACCATTGATATCCATCTCTACTGACTTTTCCATTAATTTGATTATCCGAATAGGGTCCTGTTTTGGGCAATATCGACTAAACTGCGTTCAACCCCGCAGGTGATCAAGGCACGACGGGCCGCGGAGCGCGCGTGTCACCAATATGTCATTCTTTTTATCTATCGGTGTCATGTCATCACACCAATTCATCATTTCTCAAAAATCAACGGTAACGGTAAGTGGTTGTAAAACAAATATTTAATTCGAATTATTATGAAATAGGAAATTGGTGTTCGACAGGAGTCCTTACTTTGCTCCGAAAAGGAACTTCATGACGTGTGCAATACTTTGAAAGGTTCTCCAAAGTCATCATAAGAATGCCAGTTTGAATGCCAGTTTGTGGGCAAAAGCAGCAGCTGTGTGCTGGGGCGGCTACCAGCTACACTATTGGGGCAGCCATTAAAGGAATCTTCCGCGGAAAAAGCTCCGCCTCCATTACCACAGAAAAACGATACCCCTTAGGGCCCTAGCCTCATGAGCATAGCAAAAAGAACGGAACATAAGCGTTAGTTTCGATAATACTAATCCTACACACAAGACAAAATGATCACTCTTTCCGTGGAAGATTGTCCTTAAAGGACGAATTCACGATGAAAAAGCAACCCATTTCAAATTAACCTAGGGATGGTGAGTGGTACACGAAAGAAGGAAGAACCATGAGAAACGGCCCAGAACCCGAGAGAAATGGTACCCCTTCCTTGCCCGTTGATTCGAGCATTGCGACTCTCATCATCGCTGTGCCCTCTTCAACACTACGCTCTCTCAGCTATCTAATCACTCGCCACGTATTGAACTACGGCGAGTGATCAGATGATCGGTGGGCGGAGATCGCCGGACCCGCCAGCTTTGAGGCATGATAGGTCGCCGAGGTCAAATTTTTCCATGCGAATTGCGCGTCAGTTCGCACCCTCAGGAGGTCCGTGGGTCCCTCAACTAGGTCAGTTTCCCTTTCTTCGACCTTCATTCTAATCGTGAATTCCTCCTTTAAGGTACCGTTTTCTGAGGTAATGAGGGCGGAGCTTTTTCCGTGGAAGATTCCTTTAACAGTGGACGATAGGCTAGCATGCGCGTCAGAAATTTGGCACCGCATCGGACATTCTGAGTTTTTTTTTCTGATGATGATTTTGATGATTCCCATGCGCCGCAGAACTAGTAAGTCATTCATTTTTTAGCGCTTGCGCTCCTTTTTCTCAAGTTTTTGCATTCTATAGATAATACATTAGCGTTGAGAAGGAACTCTTGTTCTCTTGTTGTACGCGAAGCCTCGGCCTTATCCTGCCACGCGGTTTTAAAATTTCTTACGCGACCCAATATGAGATTCCCTCAAATGCTAACTCTTAAGTAAGAAATGTTTATCTTCAAATTAGTGTACGCATGTTAATTATGATGAGATAAGTGAGCAAGAGCAAAATACTTCCAACAATGGCAGAAGATCCCTTGCACGTTTCCGCTCTCCCTCACACGTAGCCATTTCGCGCGCGGTCGTGGCGTTTGATCTGCTCGCGCGGGATTCGCTGTGAGACGGCTTGTCGTCAAGCGTAACTGTAAACCATATGGCAGCCACAGCGTTCAAATATCCATTTTCTGAACGCGCAAAACTTTCATTTCAATTCTTTCCTAGTAGTCCCTTCACTGTCGTAAACATTCACATGAAAGGTTGTAGGGCATTATTTCAACTATTACAACCCCAAAATCTCAAAATTTTAATTTTCGTCGAAACTTCGCCTGAACATATATTTTTGGCATCTGCCAGTTTAGCGCCAGGACTATTTTCACCAAATTCGCTGTAAACTTGTATACAGGGGTTATTCGGGGTCCTGATTACGGATATGACATTCGTTTTTGGCATTTGCACTATTCAACGCATATTTCCCGTTTTCTTGGGCTCTCTCACTTGTACATATTACCTCGGACTGAGCTTAGGAGGAGGGGGCTCCTACGTGGGTGAACCAGGCAACGTGTGGCAAATGTTGAAGCGTATAAGATCACAGGATGAGTGATTCACTCATTTCGGAGCACTCCGCTCCCCAAACGCTTACCAGGGAGGTCTTCCAGGAAATGCCAAGCTTTTTCAAAACGGTTTTTTGCATGATATAGGGACACATGCATGAAACACCAAGCTGTAGTTCATTTTTCCTGAGCGGCCCTCTGAATACCAAAAAAGGAGCGAAGAAAAAATTCTAAGGAAACTGCCGTTCTAACCGCTTTTTTGTGACGTACATCGCACACAGCGTTGACCAGTGTCATATCAAAAGGTTCTCATGAATGGTACATTGAAACAGTGCGGAATTCGGTCAAAAATAAAACGATCTCCTTAGCATGTATTGAAACTATTGTGGAATATTCATCAGCGCCTTCTGAAGCTAGGCTGTCAGCGGTAGTCGGGTGGCCTAGTGGTTAGTGGCGGTCTCTGAATCGGAAGTGAAAGGGCGTTGTTGATGGTTCGACTCCCACAGCAAAGTTTGCATTTTCTCTCTGCTATTTCTTCTCTTTTTCGTGAGTTTTGGAACGCCAACAGAAAATGCAAAAAATTGTCACTGGGAGGATCCGAACCACGGACCACTTCATAACCCCTTTTTTGGTATTCAGAAGGTCGCTCAGGAAAAATGAACTACGGTTCAATGTTCCATGCATGTACCCCTATATCATGCAAAAAACCGTTTTGAGAAAGCTTGGCATTTCCTGAAAGACCTTCCTCGTTAGTCCGATCGCGAGCTAATTAGTGAGAGGGCGCAGATGAGTCGAAAATAGGGGCCAAATAGCGCAAGCGGCAAAATGAATGTCATTTTCGTAAACAGGGCATCGAATAACCCCTATAGGCGAAGTTTCGACGAAAAATAAAATTTTGAGATTTTGGGGTTGTAATAGTTGAATAGTGCCGATTGTAGAAGCAGTTAATACAAAACTCTGTGAGTTTCAAGATATTTGTATTTGGAGGAAGAACTTAGGTATAAATGCTTTTAACTTCATTCGCAGCGAAAGTGATGTTTTTTGCTTCTTCGTGGTCATTATGCGTTCTTCTAAACAAAAATCTACTGCTGTTTATATAGTTAACCTTTATGCTTTCATCCTTGCCGAAATAATTCTCTGAGATTCCAGTTGTTGAGCATTTTAAAGCGAGAGATTACGATAAAGTGTGTGGCAGCGTGGAAGTACATGCACCATTGGAAGCAGTAGTCAGGGGCCCAAGGAAACGAAATGTTGCGTTTTTGTGGTCAAAGGTGCGCTAGTTGCAGCGTACAAGGCTTGCCATTCCTTTCTGAGCCCCGCCACGGTCTGTGCTCCGCCCCCAGCAGCAGCGCCCTTCGATTGCCAATGTGACGAGATATTCCACTTCCAGAATGTTCCTCCGGAAGCATTCAAGAATAGCTGTATCCGCCTAGATGTGCCTTCAAACGCTGATCTCAAATCTGCCTTCCGAATCTGCTGAAGATTCTCTGAGCGGAGTTATGAAGCAAAACAGCGCAACGGTTGGTCGGAGGCTCACAGTCAAAACGTCGTAGGATCGGTTATTGTATTTTGCATTCTTCAAGGATTTAGCTAAATAGTCTATTAGAAATCGTTCAACTGTATTCCCGAAGTATGCAAAACAGTAGACACGATAAACGACCGATCCTTTGATTATGAGTCCCGACTACTGCCTTTGCGCTGTTTTGCTTCATAACTCCATTCAGAGAATTTTTTAGCAGATTTGGAAGCTAAATTTGAGATCAGCGTTCGAAGGAACATCTAAGAAACACCTATATAAGGGGGGGGGGGCAAAAAAAGAGTCACTTTCCTCCACATTCAAAGGGATTTAAATACGTTGCTATACTAAACCAAATGAGCTAAACGGTATATCAAAGAACATGGTAATCTAACAACAAGGTTGCATAACAGCCTTCTACACCGACGACATCAGATTTTGAAGGCGGTGGGGACAGTGACGCAGAGCCTGCTCCTGCTCTTAGAGGGGGGGGGGTACACCTAAGGAATATTCTGCCATAAAACATTCATCAACAGCCTCCTGCGCGACGAAAAATTTGATGATGTGGGCAAAATGACTTTTTTGCCCCCCCCCCTGCTGTAGATATCTTCTTGAATGGTCATGGCGACCTGTGCCTTGACCATTCAAGACCTGTCTCATGCCTTGACCATTGCGCTTTAAGCCACGATCTCTTCTCAACGCTCCACTATTGAACCAATCAACGACTCGTATCATTTTTTCAAGTCCACCTTGACCGAGTGACCACTACACCATTGTACTAGAATGTTGTTTCTTTTTAACCTAATAATCTCTTCTTTTAGGTCACATCTACAAAAGTGTTGCCATATTCTTTAATATCTATCATATCCATTTTTATTGGTCCCTTCATTACTGGTTCATCTGACATGTTACCTGATCAAGACGTAGCTAGGAAATGGGCAGCGGAGGTAACTCGAGTGTAGCGACTACGTAAATTATCAAATTTCTGGCACATGAAGGACCCCTGCAACAAAAAGAAAAATAAGAAGTCCAACCTAATTCTTTGGGAAGAATTCTGAACTCTCACAACCCACATTTGAGATTTTCTATTCTTAATTTATTCCAATGCAAAACCCTTCAAACAAGACGCCGATCTTACTTGTTAGGGCTTTTGGTAGATACCACGTTTGTAAAAATGATTTTTTTTGTGGAGAAACTTTTATGTGGCGGATTTGACTTGAGTTCCTCACCGCGTCGTGGTTACTGCTCTCCGGGTGACAACGAGCGACCGAAAATGGTGAAATTCGTTTGAAAGAGGTATGGCAAAGTGCGGGCGGAAGTGGTGTAGTGGCAAGTGGCGCGCTTACCACGCGAGCGGTCCGGGGATCAAATCCTGGGTCGTGAGTCGCCCGGGCCAACCAAGCCTTCCATCCCTCCGGGGTCGGTTAATTGGTACCAGACTTGTCTGGGAGGATAAAAACACTGACTTGTACATCGGCTGGCCCCCGCAAGTCATTGTATAGGCCACATCGCATTCAAACGCCACTACGAATGTACAAATGGAAGTAGAATGCGTGCCGCATCCCAAAAAGGGATTGATCGGCAAATGCTTTATCCTTCCTGCATTATGGCAAAGTGCGGATGCGAGTTGTAGCGAAACACACTGACTTGGCGCTGCTCTCCGTGCAGTGTTTTTGCAACCTTTTCGAGAAGCTAGCCCTAGGTAACGCTTGTTATTTTCGATCCTTCAGATAGAACATCACTCGTGGTGATGCGGCAACAGCTCCAAAAACTCGATAGCATCACCATTTTCCCATGAATATCAAGTCGAAGCAGTGAGACTGACTATACACTGGACTGCTCTACTGTTCCGCGTACAGCAGATCCACTTATCAAGTGGTCAAGTAGCTGACAGCTTCCCTTTTTCACGAACCGGACTCAACGAGTAACCTCGGAACCGGCAGGGTCAAGTCGGGAATTGCTAAATTCCTGACTGATAGAGGAAGCGGGTCCTAACGGTTTCCTTGGAGTGTTATGGAGGAGACGAGGAGAATGAATAATTCTTGACAGCAGTGAATATGCAGTGAGACTCCCGTACAGACGAGAGTGTAGGCAGCGACAGAATAACCAGAAGAGAAGTAACTAGTACTGTCTGGAGGCTATTTATAGAGGGGGCTCCCGAGCAAATAGCGTCACTAGGTAACGAGTAGGTATGCATAAGAGAATCAAGGGGGTCCAGGCGGGACCACACAATTGGTGGGCAGCCTTAGACCTGCTAGGCGCGGTCATACGGTAGACCACACAGAAGCCGCTCACCGCAACAGTCACCTGCCGCAGCAAATCGTCGTTGTTGTGTGACGAAGATAAACGGTGCAGATATCCGTCCGGTCAAATCGTGCTGTACCCAACGACCTCGTTTCCAAGGCTGCCTAGCTCCTGAGTAGCCTAAAGATCGTGTTCATGGAAGGAGCACTTGAGAAACTGTCAAATAATTTGATGACTACCCCGGATCGTCGTGGAACAGAGCGCAAAGGACCAAGATCCACAGTAGCCGTGCGCGGCGCTGGAGATATTAAAGTCTGCGCTGTAGGACTCGAGTCACCTTTGTACTGCAACGTGGCGATCTTGTCCTAGTCTGTAACGGAATCGAATCTGATGCCAATCATGGGCTGACCACTATAGGAGAACATTGCACTGCATGAGCGTTTGGATGGTCTCGTAGAAGATATTGTTCTTGTGCTGGCGATGCAAGCGCCACTGTCGAAAAAGCTGATTGGAGCACCGTGCACAACACAGCGCACTCTTTCTATCTACCAACGATGGAAGATTCCAGAGCACGTTGGGAATTCCAGAAACAGCATG